CGGACAGCCGGGCTGGGGGCTCCAGAGGGGAGGGTCGCGCCCAGGAGAGACCAAGACCTCGGGAGACCCGAAGGGTCTTCCGTCCCCAGGGACGGGCATCCCGGGTCCGTTTCCCTCCGCGCTCTTAAGCATTCGGAGCGCCCACGTCCTCTGGAGGCGCCGGAGTCCCGGGGGCGGGCGGGCCCGGGCCGCTGCGCGCCGGGATTGGCCATTTTAGGCCAACCTCCAAGCGGAAGTGAAGGCGGGCGGAAGTTGCGCGACGTCGCGGGAGGGAGTGTCGTGTGTAAACAGTGTCCTTCCGCGCGGCGGCCTTGGGGAGAGCTGCTCAGGGTGGGGGCGTGCCTGGAATTGGGGGGCTTCGCGGGAGCCCGAGAGAGGAGGTGGTGGAGTGGGACGGAGTGGCCCTTGACGTGCCGGCCAATCGCCGGACGGGCTCCCGCCCTGGGCGGAGGAATCCCGGGCTGTGAGGCGGCTGCATCTGGGCCCATGTGCTTCTTTGTTTACTAAGAGCGGAAGCAGTGGCGGGAGAGGGGGTGGGGTGGAGGACGGGCCTAGTGGAGAGATTGAGGAGACCGAAAGAAAAGGGGGAATCTTACGCGTGGAAGAAAAGCTGAGAACCTGGCGTTCGGAGTGTGTGGCGGGGTGTCGGACGCCTTTGGGAAAGGGTATTGAGATTTTTAACTAAGACAAAGATTGGAATTCCCTGGAGGGGGGGCGGGTTGTTGGGTAATGCTCTTAACCGCCCGGGGCCCCTTCTCCTTCCGTAGGTAAGAACAGACTTGTTAGAAGGAGTTCTGCCCTACTTGGGGACAATTACGAAGGCTTACTTAGATGTTCATGTAAACTGATTACTTCATACATTTTGTAAGTGAAAGCGAGTTTTTTAGATTCGTATCAAGGGGGTTTGCAGCAAAGTACCTGAAAGACTGATTCTCGTGGTTTTACGTTTTCCTTCCAGAAAAGGTTAAGAAATTTCTACAAGAGTTTTACCAGGATGATGAATTTGGCAAGAAGCAATTCAAGTATGGGAACCAGTTGGTGAGTCTAAGATAAAGTGGAGGGAATGGGTGCTTACTTAAGGAGTTATAAGAGGTGGCCTGGTTTATTTCAGTAAGCATACATTGTAGGTGATCCCTTTAGTGTCCTATTTAATATTTAGTAAGTGGATGTAATCGTACATGTATAATGATCAAGAGTGGTCTTGAGGAGTTAGGAGGCGGTCTTTTGGGGGCTGAGAAACGAGTATTGCTTTGTCTCACACTGCTTTCTCCCCTGTGGGTGACGGACACTGCCGAGCCTGGTAAACAGGGCTCTGTTGCTGTCGCTTCCTTACGGCAGGTTCGACTGGCTCATCGGGAGCAAGTGGCAATGTACATAGACCTAGACGATGTAGCTGAGGATGACCCTGAGTTGGTGGACTCGATTTGTGAGAACGCCAGGCGCTATGCAAGGCTCTTTGCTGACGCCGTACAGGAGCTGCTGCCTCAGTACAAGGAGAGGGAGGTGAGTGGTTGCAGAAAAACACAAGGCAAGGAACAGTTGCTTTCGGGAAGCTTCTCGGGTACTGGTGATTTTCTGAGCTTGCAGAAAGAGGGCAGGAATATCTGCCTGGTGCCCTTTATGGTCTTACCTTCCTGCCACTCGTTTTTTCTGTTTTTCTTTAGGTGGTAAACAAAGATGTTTTGGATGTTTATATCGAGCACCGGCTGATGATGGAGCAGCGGAGCCGTGACCCTGGGGCAGCCCGAAGCCCGCAGAACCAGTACCCTCCTGAGCTCATGCGCAGATTGTGAGTGGTCTCAGTGGGGACGGGTGTGGGAATTTGTTCTCCAGGACCTTAATGATGACTATTTTCTCCCCCTAGTGAGCTGTACTTTCAAGGGCCAAGCAGTAACAAGCCTCGTGTGATCCGGGAAGTACGGGCTGACTCTGTGGGGAAATTGGTCACCGTGCGTGGAATTGTCACTCGTGTCTGTGAAGTTAAACCCAGAATGGTGGTGGCCACTTACACTTGTGATCAGTGTGGGGCGGAGACCTACCAGCCGGTATGTATGGAGCAAGGGATAGGAACACACTTAATTGTTGGTGGTTTCCCCCTGAATTTGTTGTGTCAGCTGATATTTATTTGTCATTTATTATGTTCATTGGGAAATGTGACTACGTGTTCACTTGTCATTCTTTTTTTTGGTCTATGGTGGTTTTTCCATCCATTTTGTGTTCTTGGTTCCCATCATTATCAACTCGGGACGGGTCAAGACATTCTTTGCAGTTTGTGGTGTATGCTGTGAGGAGGAAGTGTTGACTCAGGTGACTGCCTTCGTTTCCTTCTGCTTTCCTTTCTCGCATCCCAGATCCAGTCCCCTACTTTCATGCCTCTGATCATGTGCCCGAGCCAAGAGTGCCAGACCAACCGCTCAGGAGGGCGGCTGTATCTGCAGACACGTGGTTCCAAATTCATCAAATTCCAGGAGATGAAAATGCAGGAACATGTGAGTTTGGGGTATGTGGCCCAGGGAAGGTGGAGTTCAGGTGTCTGCTCAGGTTCTGCGGTCATTCACGGAGTGGAAGAAAGAAAGAACAAAAGAAGCTGAGGCAGAGAGGTCACCTAGAGCAGGAGGGAGGTTTAACTTGAGCTTCTAGTTGAGTTAGGAAGGGGTAAAGACTGTCTCGGGCTCCCTTCTCCTCTTGGCTCCTCTGAGCTGAGAAGTAGGGGGTGGGATGCCTGGGACTGGAAGATGAGGTTCTTGTAGGCTTCGTTCATGTTCTTTCCTTCCTGCCCGCGGGCCTTCTCCCCTGTAGACTGACCAAGTGCCTGTGGGAAACATCCCTCGTAGCATCACCGTGCTGGTAGAAGGTGAGAACACGAGGATCGCCCAGCCTGGGGACCACGTCAGTGTCACCGGCATCTTCTTGCCGATCCTGCGCACTGGGTTCCGACAGGTGGTACAGGTAAGAAAGGGGCTTGAAAGGGAGAGGAAAGGGGCGCCTGGGTGGCTCAGTCGTTAAGCGTCTGCCATTGGCTCCGGTCATGGTCCCAGGGTCCTGGGATCGAGCCCCACATCGGGCTCCCTCCTCGGTGGGAAGCCTGCTTCTCCCTCTCCCATTCCCTCTGCTTGTGTTTCCTCTCTCACTGTGTCTCTCTCTGTCAAATAAATAAATAAAATTTAAAAAAAAAAAAAAGGGAGAGGAAAGATTTCCCTTTGTCCTTCACTTTTGCCAGCCCCACAGAGGGAACTGGTAATGGCAATGGTAAAGTAGCACAAAGAGTTTTGGTAGGAACTGAGGGAGTCAGGTGAATGGGTAAGTGAAAGGGCCTTCATCCATACCCTGGCGTTTTCCTGCCCAAGGGTCTCCTCTCTGAAACCTACCTGGAAGCCCATCGGGTCGTGAAGATGAGCAAGAGTGAGGACGAGGAGTCTGCGGCTGGAGAGCTAAGCAGGGAGGAGCTGAGGCAGATTGCAGGTGAGGGGCCTGGGGGAGCCTTGGAATGGGAATTTCTTCCTGGCAACCCTCCCCCCATTTCACCCCCAAGTACTCTAAACTTTCCCACAGAGGACGATTTCTATGAGAAGCTGGCGGCCTCCATCGCCCCAGAGATCTACGGGCACGAAGACGTGAAAAAGGCTCTGCTGCTCCTGCTGGTGGGAGGAGTGGACCAGTCTCCTCGGGGCATGAAGATCAGGGGTAAGGGGGCGGGGAGATGAGGGGGCGGTTGGGAGGGAGCAAGGATGTCAAGGACCAGTGTCCTGTGACCGCTTTGTCACAGAGTAAAAGAGCATTTGGGCTTCGTGGGCATAGGGAGGGGATGAGAAGTAATGCTGGGTATCGGGGAGGATCTCGAGTATTTGTCGTTGGGCAACTTGCATGGAAAGAAGGGTCACTTGGGGGTTTAACTCTTCCTCCAGGCAACATCAACATCTGCCTGATGGGGGATCCCGGTGTGGCCAAGTCTCAGCTCCTATCTTACATTGATCGCCTGGCACCTCGCAGTGAGTAACTGAATCCTGGGAGGGGTGAAGGTACCAGACAATGGGGCCCTGTGCTCATCTGTTCCTTAGGGGGCGGGGAGGGGCGGTGGTTCTGGTGCCAACACTTGATCCTCAGCTGCCTCAGGAAGGCCTGGACCTGGTGGGGCGGTAGAGCGGTTCCAGTTGGGGCCTCACCTGCCTCCTCCTCTTGCTTCTTCCCTTGTTCTTTTCCTCTTCCTCAGTGTGTCTGCTTCTTTCCTGTTCCTGATCCTGCTTTTAGGCCAGTACACCACGGGCCGGGGCTCTTCGGGAGTGGGGCTCACGGCGGCTGTGCTGAGAGACTCGGTGAGCGGAGAGCTGACCTTGGAGGGCGGGGCCCTCGTGCTGGCGGACCAGGGTGTGTGCTGCATCGACGAGTTTGACAAGATGGCCGAGGCCGACCGCACGGCCATCCACGAGGTCATGGAGCAGCAGACCATCTCCATCGCCAAGGCTGGCATCCTCACCACGCTCAACGCCCGCTGTTCCATCCTGGCTGCCGCCAACCCCGCCTATGGGCGCTACAACCCTCGCCGCAGCCTGGAGCAGAACATACAGCTGCCTGCCGCGCTGCTCTCCCGCTTTGACCTCCTCTGGCTGATCCAGGACCGGCCTGACCGCGACAATGACCTGCGGTGAGTGGAGCTCAGTGCTTTGGGACACCCCCCCCCCGCCACTGATCTGCAGGGAGGGAGAAGGGGTTGGAAACTCCTCCGGTTCCCTGCTTACTGTGGGAGCTAGTGCACGGTTCTTTAGGGAAACGGGGGGTCAGGACTAAAATCCTGGGGAGGGGGCGCCTGGGTGGCTCAGTCGTTGAGCGTCTGCCTTCGGCTCGGGTCATGGTCCCAGGGTCCTGGGATTGAGTCCCACATCGGGCTCCCTGCTCCGCGGGGAGCCTGCTTCTCCCTCTCCTACTCCCCCTGCTTGTGTTCCCTCTCTCACTGTTTCTCTTTCTCTGTCAAGTAAATAAAATCTTTAAAAAAAATCCTGGGGAGGATTTCCTGGGAGAGCCTCCCTGCCACGCTGTGAAGAGATGGCGAGCTGGGGCATGGGGTACGGAGCCCCCAGGAGAGGGTGTCTACTTGCCTCCACTCTTCCAGGTTGGCCCAGCACATCACCTACGTGCACCAGCATAGCCGGCAGCCCCCAGCCCAGTTTGAGCCTCTGGACATGAAGCTGATGAGGTAGGAGAGCTGGGGCACGGCCAGTGTGCCCGACCCGTCACTCCATGTGGCAGCCGCTTGGGCTGTGTGCGCGTCTCCTGGAACAGGGAG